TCTTAGTCAGCTCTGGATGCTCTACCAAGCACCCACTCTGGCTGTTGCGGCTTATGACCACTAGAATTCTATTTCTCACAGTTCTGGAAATCTGAAACCAGGATATGAGTAATATTCAGGTCTAGTGTGTACCCTCTTCTACATGGGAGAAAGAGGGAATACAGTCCCCCTTAGGGTCCCTTTTATAAAAGCACCACACTCTGCTACTCTCAACACTTCACTTCAGACAATGGATGTGTGGGTTTCTCATTCACAACAATTTAATTTATTTCTTTAGCAAACACTTACCAAGTATCCTAAAATTTAATGCAGTTTTGAAGCTAAGTGTCTGGAGTCAGCCCAGACTGCTTGGTTTAAGGGCAGAGTCCACAAACTGCCCCTACTTTAAACAACAATCAAAAGAGTTTAGGCACTCTTGCCAGGAATAGGAGACAGACCAAACCCAGTAGTATCCTGGTATTAGCCCATTTTCTATGGGTGTGACATATAGCTGGGCACTTGGTAAAGAAAAGAGGTTTATTATCTCAACAGTTTTAAAGCCATGAGTACATGGCTTCGTCTGTATGGCCTCTGCTGGGGAGCCCTCCAGATGTATCAGAGAAACAACAGGTAGAGAAACAGGAGGGAAGGAGGCCCATGCAGACATGGCTGACAGAGTGAGTAGTCTTCCTGTATAAAAACCCCCTCTTGTGATAGCTAACCAGGATCTCTAGAAAACTGCATTTATCTCTTATAAGGGTGATGTTCTCAATGCCCTAACCACCTCTCACTAGGCCACATTTCTATAAGGTTTAACTTAAAGAGAGCGGGGAAGGGATGTTATCAGGACCTCTGTCTTGGGTCCTGGCCTGTGAGCCACCACAACACAAGGCAAACTCAAGAATAGACAGAAATGAGACTTAGAGTGGAGAAGCTGAGTCTTGTGTCCTGGTTAATGCTGCTGGTGGCAGCAAAGACAAAGGCCCCGAGCACATCCAGTATTTACTGAATACAACTGTGAGAAGGAATAGGGAGCTAAGGAGATTTGAAGGCATCTAGTGAATTACTGCCGAACACCTGGCTTGATGGCACCAGGCAGGGATATTAGGGAGTAAGCACTATTTATCTTGCTTGGATAGGACAAACTGGTACTGGGACCAAGTGCAATTAGCAAGCTACCCACAAGGTCAGTGAGAAGCGATATTTCAGGAGAAAGGATTTTATTTGGGGTCATACTCAGCTGCACATAACTCAGCAGATTCCTGCCGCTGCACATAACTCAGCAGATTCCTGCCATTTCACAGACCAGGACTTAGGCCTCAGTGACAGCCATTAGAAAAGGAGCATTACTAGCCCAACTCTGCCAGCTGACATGCCCATTTGAGTCACACAGGGCTTCCTCTGACTCCTGATATAAAACAATATAGCCAAATCATGGAAGGCAAGAAGCATGTGTCACGTAGCTTGCTAGTACTGGGGAGGGATGTCTCCTACATCCACCAACACTACCACACTGAGGATGAAGCCTCTGGCTTTATAAGCCTTTTGGGGACAAGCCATATTCAAATCATAGCACCCTTTCCTTACAGGATACATTCATTCTCAGAACCCCATGGAGATCTGAAAAAAGAGAAAGTACTGAACCCTGCATATGTTGTTGATTTTCTTATACATGCATACCTCTGATAAAATTTAATTTATAATTAGGTAGAATAAGATTAGGCATAACAATAATAAAATAGAAGTATAAAATATACTTTAATAAAAGTTACTTAAAACTTATGCAATTTTTATTTCTTAAACTTTCCATTTAATATTTTCAGACTGTGGTAGACTGGGGGCAACTGAAACAATAGAAAGCAAACCCATGGATGAAGGGGTATGACTGATATTTTTCTAAATTATCACAGGATTGATATCACAGATTGGCAAAACTGAAACATTATATCCACTAAACAGTAACTCCCTCTTTCCCCCTCTCACTTGTCTTATGCCAATTTTCATACCACGCTTCCTTGATTAGTTAGAGGTATAGAAGTGTTAAAATCAGATAGTACTAATTTTTCCTCTACAATCATTATATTCCTTTATTACTGGATTTTGGGATGCAGTTAACTACTTGGAATCAGGCTGGTCCTTCTGAGACTTGCTTTTCATCTTTCTTAGGGTGAATTCCATAGAAGTTTTTAGGACTAAGTTAGCCCCATTAGTGAGGCAACGTATTTCTGAGGATTTTGAAGTTCTGCATTTTAGGAGGTCTTCCAGATGGCTGGTGGGAACACAAATCCTTTTGGCCTTTTAGGAGCTCCAGGAATTGTCCGGCCCACTCCTTTCTGGGATTATCCTGTGATTGGTTATCCTCTTGTGTGCACAGACCGATAATTTGCTGAAGGCTTGAGGGGCATCTTCTACAGAGCCCTGCAGCCCTCTCCTCTAACCTTCCTCTTTCTGTTGGTAATAGGCCCTACAAATTCTGGTCATTTGGCTTTTGCATCTGTTACTCCACCTTGGCCAAAAGCAGATGCTTTCTGAAAATGTCATATTTAAAGCCATTGTTCATTTGTGTATATTAATCATGTTTTCAATATTTTCTATTAAAAGTATGCTGAAATAAGTATAGGAGCTGAAAGACTGTCCTCAAACTCCTATGCTCATGTGATCTTCCTGTCTCGACCTCCTGAGCAGTGGGGACTATGGGCCACCACTTCTGGTGTGGGCTCAGAACTTTCTTAGCAAACAGAAAACTTTGTAGTGGGCAGCAAATCTCAGGGTTTTCATTCTGTGGGGCACTGACCTATTTCACTGCCCAATGTTTAGCTAGAGAACCAGCTCAGCTTGAGATGGAAGCCCCTGGGGTGTGGAGCCCTCAGTCAGAACACACAGGACAGGGGTTGTGAGTGCTTTCTCTACAAGACTATGACACTTCCTCAGCGAGGCCATGCAAATTTCAACCTGCCTTCAGTTGTGAGAAAGAGCTTCTCTTAAGACTCTGTTGCAGAAAAGGGAGTATGTCAACCCATGTAATTTAGCCAGCCTGGCAGGTAAATGATGACTTGTGCTTACTCTGTTAGTTTTCATTTATGTGAAGTTACCTTTTCAAATGTGAAAGTTTCATTTGTTAAACTGTTCTTTAAAACTCAACCTCTCCTTGAGCAATTTCTCTGTCCTGAGTACTGGCTCTGGAGAAACCAAGGTAGAGCACCATCCATGTTTTGGCTGTCCCTGCATTAGAGAGTCCCGGCCTAAGAACCTATCATCTTGCACCAGAAGACTGTGACATTGTTCAATCTACTGTGTTGTGTGGACAGATTTGTCGTGCGGTGTTATGATCCCATCTCCTGTCTTCCTGGTTCCAAAAGGGCCAGGTGTCAGGGCACGAGGGGCATTTCCTGGAAGGAGAGGAAGGTTTAAGGAGGGAGGAAAAAGGAGAAGGGAGAAAGAGGGAGGAGGAGGGGAAAGAGAGAGGCTGGAAGAGGGCGGAGGAGGAAGGAAGGTGGGGAGGAGGAGAAAGGAGAAAAGGAAGGAGGGGGAGGGAAGGAGGGGGTAAGAGGACTAAGTACAACCCACAGCTGCCTTAGCTCAGCAGTCAGAATTCCACAAGTCCTTCCGTTCGAAAAGGACCGCATCTGGCGGCTCCCGTTTCTGCCGACTCAAAGCTCTGTTAAGGGGGTGGGGATGGGGGCCGCACGGGGACCTTCCTTGGAAACGAGTCACCGGGCAAACCCAGCAGTTGCTGCGCTTCCCGCCTGAGCCGGCGTGCGCCGCACAGCGCTCGCTTCTGCAAGCGCTACAACTCGGGAACTTCTGAGTGCTTGCGGCCCGGGGCCCTTCAAGGCCACTGACTTTACAGCGTACAGCAGAGAAAGACAGAAACACAAGTAGGACTGGAAGTCCGAAGCTACGCTTCCCAATCGGGTCCAGCAGCAGGACCTCGGCCGCGCCGGCGGAGGCCGGGACCAC